ACATATTCCTTAATTTAATCTTAGTTAAATTATCCACTCTGTTTAATAGCTATCTAGGTGAAACTAGATTTACTCTGGAAGCCTCTGAAGATCATTGTCATGTTGCTTTGACCAGGAAAACCTTGTCTGTGACAGGAGAGGGTCTGAATTTTAGGGCTATGTGTGGGCATGGTTTTGATAGTGACTGACACCACCTCTGGCTAGCTGGGGGTCGTGGCTAGAGATCACTTCCAGTAACCTCTCTTTGTAGGCTAGCTTGCTATTTTAAAAGAGGTGTGGCTGTATTTATATCCCTCAAATTCTGCTCTCTTTTTAAGATTAATATTGCAGGGTTTGATTATTCATTATCATTATGTGAGGTTCAACTACATGTAAATTATTAAAAAGGAAATCAAGAGTGAGTCATGAAATAATAATTAGAGCCACTATTTATTAAGATTCCACTGTGTACCTGTCTGTTTAATCCTTACAGCAAAGTAGGTCTTTCGTGCCCCAAAATGTCAGACAGAAAGCAGGAGCTCTCCAGATAGCAGTGGGCTACCCCAGGATGGCAGGCTGGGGTGCCAGAGACACTGCCCACAGGGTTCCCTGCTTGGTCTTTGTCCAGCCTGCCCTTGGCAAGTGTAGCTCTAGGGCAACCTTGCTCGCCAACAAATTTATGGTATATTTTGATTCCAGTAAGATTTCTATAGAGTTGAAAGTTGGAATTCCTTTCTGTCTTTAATATCTACTTTCATCAGTTGAGACAAGTGCTTCCAAAGAGTTCCCCGGTGATCTAGTCAACGGTCAGTTGAACCATCTAGACATGGTGCCCCGCAGATGGATACAGGAGAGGCGGCAGTAGCAAGGAAAAAATAGGGGGTCAACTGGGAAGCTCAGCACGGGGCTTTATGTGGGCATGACTTGCTTGCAACATCCGCTGCCTTCTCTGCTTTTGTTCATTTCATTATTCACGTTCATTTGCACAGTGGACTGGCTCTCAGCACCGTGGTCAGCTTCATTATTGTTAAGGAAGCCGAGCTCCTATATCTTCAGACACAGTTGTTTGCATGGCATGACATGTTTGGTGGAAGGCCGTAATCCTAACTCAATACCTTCTGCCAGCAAGAGAGAAAGCAGCTTCTCCGTGCGTCTGTTTATTCCTAAACTGACATGCACTCATGTCTGTTGTTATTCTGAATTAGTTAACAGCACACCTAGTCTTTGTAGCTGTAATAATAATAATAATGTACAAAGGACGTCTCTGATCTCTCACGCAGCCACATCCATTGTAGACAAGAATGCAACGTCTGATCTATGGCTTGTTCCTTTTGCTCGGAGTGACAGCTACGGCTTGTGGTAAATTACTCTTGAACGAGAGACAGAACTTCCATCATGGAAGGAAAACAATGTGCACCTTATTAGCCTGCCTGGTGAGATTCAACCATCCCCTACCTTCAGATTTATCTATAAATGCAGGAGATACTTGGCTGTCTAACTGACAATTATTCTTGCCTTTTAAGAAATCTGTCTTTGGAAAAGGAACAGGATGCTGGTGGAGGTACAAAAGGCTCTGCTCTCCAAGAAATTGCCAATTGACAGCAGGTCACACATCAGGGACCTGGCATTGTCCCGAAGGCCCAGTGGGGCAGTGGGGTGTTTCCAGATGCAGTTTAGCTCTGGACTAAAATGACCTGTGATGTGGGGTGAGGCAGGGAACATCCTATCGACCCAGTAAACGTAAATTCTTCCCTTATTTTTGCAGCAGGGACAAATGTCCTCGAGCATTTCTATCTAAATGTTCCTTGTCGCCTTGTTAGAAGTTGGTTCAGGGCAGGCTGGCAACAAGGAGGAAGCTGTGGACCCTTCTGCTTAACATGATGTTCCCCTTTTCTGAGAAATTCGCGTGGAGTGGACAGTGGACAGGGAGGACATACTGACCCCACTCGCTCGTTGGCTCTCAGCGCTCTGGCCAGCGACATGTCAGACACGAGCTCTGCCATGGGAGACGGTCCCGAGACATTCTTGTCTAGTGCGCGTGGGGCTGGGCGCTCCTACCTGCTGTTCCACCATCTTCCTGAGGCCTCCGCTCAGTGCAGGCCCTCACTTCCTCCGCCGTTTGTGTGTCTTCCCTCTCGTCTGATCCTCTTCTTCTTGCTGCTGAGCCGCCACCCCGTGTTTGGCTCTGGAAGTGTCTGAAACCCACATCCTGGGCTGGAGTCTTGTTGGCATCATCGAGCGTTCTCTTGGAGGCCACTGGTATTTCCTAGTGGCCTGTAGAGGTGGAACTGGGCCACGTGCCTGTGTCTCGGGCTCGGGATCTCCTGTGGCCAGCAGTGTCCCTGCACCAAGCTGCCCCGGCATGTGTTTATAACACATGGCGGAGCTGGGGGAACCGATGACAGAGACTTGGCCTTTGTAGCTCCAAGTTTCCCTCCTCAACACCCGTCCCTGCCCCCCAGGATGATGCCCTGTGGTCTTCATGCTGCTTGTCCCCCAGTGCAGTGGGCAGAGGGAGAGTGACGCGCCTCGTCTCACGCCCGTCCACGCGCTGGGACCGCAGCCCCAGGGAGGCACACCCCGCTCCTGCACTCTCTTTGTTTTCTTCCTGATTTTTAAATTTCAAGTTTTGTTTTTTTATCGAAGGCACACTGCATTATAACATTGTATAATTTTTTGATATTTGTCCTTGAGATTCAACCTGTGTATTCACAGAGTAAGGACACTGATCAAAGTCCCACTCTGGGACCTCCCTGGGGGCGCAGGGGTTAGTCTCAGCGCTATCAAGCTGTCTGCAGCCCCTGCAGCATGAGTTCGGTGCCCGGCCCGGCCGGTCAGGGAGCTACCCACATGGCACAGCAGACCTCTCCTGACTCGATCACTCTCCCCTCAGCAGAGTATTTTGTCAGTCTGCCTGTTCTGTTCCCCGCTCTGTCTCTGGGGAATCCTCTCACCCCCACACCTCCGGCCTGCACCCTAGTTCTTGTTTGCATAGATAAATAAAATAAATCATTAAGGATAAATAAACGAAAGTCCCACTCTGTCTTCCCCACTGTCCCCTTTGTTCTGATGTCCCCCGCTCCCCTCTGGGAGCCATGGTTTGGTCTGCAGTCCAGTCATTTTGGTTTTATTTGGTTCATCTAGTTTTCTTCATTTTAGATAAGATTTGCTGCTGCTGTTGTTGATGATTTTCTCTTGTTTTCAGTGCAGTGATGAAACCGTCATCTGGTTTTGTGAGCCTGGGTGCAGGGCCATTGGAAATGATTCAGGTTCCTCTTTAGAATTAGACACACAGATGAATATTTTCCTTAGAAGCCAAGGATCGTTTCGCAGTTGCTCCCTCTCTTGGCTTTTGGGGTCCACGTCAGCAAGTGATTCCTCCTTTGGAGAATCGTAATGAACAGATTTCAAAACCCTACCAATATTTTGCTTTATGTTCCAAAAACACAAGTCACAGATGTGTAACCTGCTGTTTTTGTGAATGTCTCTCCGGGATATGAAAGCACACCATAACACTAGCACATCCCACTTCTTCCATCTCGCACATTTAATGCAACCCAGGTTTTTTTTTTAATACTCATACCAAGTTAAAGCAACGATTATCTAACAGCCTGCTTGACAGTTTATAAATTAAAATCAATTCCTATTGAATTTTCTGTGTATTTCTTGGTGTACTTAAGTGACTTCAGAACAATATAATGGATTGAAGAGAAAAACCCAGTACATAAACAATTTAGAACAGTTGCTACATTTCCGAAATATAATGGAGCCTTTTGTGATAGCATCAAACATATGTTTTGACTGAAGGCTGGCGCCAGTGATTCTGGGTAGCATAGCAGGCGCCACCTCCATGCAGCCTCTGAGTCAGGGGCTGCACCTCAGACCTTACGTGAGCCTGTTCTGTGCCTGATCTTTGCATGGATGGGTCCTCTTGGGTCAAACAAGTTCTTTTCCATCCCATCACATGGCCGTGGTGCAGTCGGACTGGCTCTGGCCAAGTACAAGGCCAGTTTAATTGTCCAAGCAACTAATTGTCCCTGAAATGTCTCCCACAGGCACAGCTGTTTTCTGCATCTTTCCATTAATTTTGAACACCAGAGGTTATTGCCATATCGTCTTTGTTGTGCCGTAAAATTCAGACTCCTGCTGGAAGCTCTTAGAGATGGACAAAAGAGTAAGAATCCAACCTGGCGAGTCGAGCCTTTCTGATTCTGAAAAGGCATCATCTGTGTTATCAATGACTCACACAGGAAGTTGTCAAGATATTGGTTTTAATACTCTATAAAATTCCTTGACAATCCATAGGATTTCTAAAATCCTAGTGAGCTTGGTTCTGTCGTGATTTTGTCCTTCCTAAATCTCTATTTTTAAGCTAATTATGAGAACGGGAGCTGCAAGTCAGTAGCTGTAGCTCAGCACCCCATCCTCCTCCAAGCGGTTCCCCTACAAGCCAGAAATGAGAAGGTGGGGGTTGATCCTCACAGCTCCAGGGTCACAGATGTAACAGGGGTGCACAGACAACACAGGACACTAAACCCACCAGCTCACCTTTTGTTTCAGTTTTCACAGTAGACAGTTTAAAGTCTTTATCAAAAGCACAGGAATTTTGTCAACATTGTCACGTGCAGGTAAGTGAAACCCAAGAACCTGTCACACTGCATGACTAGCGTGACTCCAGACTCCAGGCTCCTGGGTCACGAGTGGTCTTTTAATCCCACGTCCCCCTCTCTGAAGACCACGTGAACATAGGAAGAAAGTCAGACATTTGGACTTAAATAACCTGCAACGTTGAGCTGCCATGTCGGGGGGTTCGCCTGCCACCGAAGCCTAAGTGGGGGGTCCCACGGCGGCTTCCCTTCGCTGTGCGCTGGGTGCCAGCTCTACCCAGTGGCTCAGGACTAGCCCCCCTGGGCTCTGGGCTCGCCGAGGGAACAGCCTGCTCAGCTCGAAGCCGTGTCTCCCGGGAGACAGGGAGGCAGGCCCGGGGATGCTGAGGCTGCTCTTCTTCCTGTTCCTTCCAGAACCCAACTTTGTGTCCTCCTACGACATCGGGAACTTCACCTACTTCTTCTTCCGAGAAAACGCGGTGGAGCATGACTGTGGCAAGACGGTGTTCTCCAGAGCCGCCCGCGTGTGCAAGAATGACATCGGGGGCCGCTTCCTGCTGGAGGACACGTGGACCACCTTCATGAAGGCCCGGCTGAACTGCTCGCGCCCCGGCGAGGTGCCCTTCTACTACCACGAGCTGCAGAGCACCTTCTTCCTGCCCGAGCTGGACCTGCTCTACGGCATCTTCACCACCAATGTGTGCGTACCCCAACACCCCTTGACCTTTAAAGGGGCGCTTGCTTTAAAGGGGAGCTCTTATTTTCCTGGCCCAGCAGCCAAATCATTTTTTGAGTCTGAATTAAATGTCACACAAATTTAGGTGACTTCTGAGATCAGATATAGGAGGAGAAAGCTAATAATAATAATAATTAAAGTTATGAGCAGCACTTACATGATAGTATCAAATGATTCTACTGTTCATCTTGCCTTGGTACCTACCTGGGCTATTTATTCTTTATGCTCCAGCTCCTGGATTTGCGCGTAATAAAGCGGGGGTGTCTGCACAGTTCCCTCTTTGAGATAAGGTCATTCTTGCCTCAGCCCCTGCTCCTAATTGAAATGGACGTTCTCCCTTTGCAGGAGCTGCCTTCCACGTTCTCGCGGTGGCTGGCTGAGGCATTTCTGTGGGGATGGTTAAACTTTGGAATTATTTTTGAAAAACTTACGCTGTCTGTCTTGTGGGACGATCTCCCAGCTTCAGAACGGACGTTCTGTTTGGATACGGCAAAGCCTAAAGCTGAGGTTCCCTGCCCGACCCCTCAGTCCTTGGACCTCGCTCTTGCTTCATTCTCAGCTGAGGGGCTGTGACGAGACCCAGCAGGGTCACCCCGCCCAGAGATGGAGGCTGGATGACCCGGAGGCAGGCTCTGAGCTCTGAGTTCCGCTTGGAACGCCCTTTGAAAGCCCTAGTCAGTGACCCACCCTTTAGATAAGACCCACTGGGTGTCCCACAGCACTGAACCTGGGTGGGCTGAAAGTGCTGATGGGGGGGGGGGGCAGGGTGGCCAGTGCTTCCAAGTTTCTGGGCTGGTCCTGGTTTGTCGGGTGACCAGCAGCTGGGTCTGTCTGGGGTCGTCCAGGCTTGGCCCAGGATCCGGGGCACCTGTTCCAACTGGCAGCGGCCACAGTCCCTGCCCTGCTCCGCTGTGTCCTGGCATCAGAATCCTGCGGAGAACCACGCTCCTGAGGCCCCGGCAACGGCCTTGCTTCCCGGCTCCTCTTCCTCCTGCCCCGGCCCCACGGAGCCTGAGCTTGCAGCCACAAGGCCTCCGCGCGGCGTCTCCTTTCTCGGGCTGAGATAAATGACTCCCCTCCCAGCCCACCGCGACCCTCTGTGTTGCTGTGAATCCGGTTGTCAACCCCGGAGGTCATTTTTCCACCTTGATAAGTTTCTCTTAAAATATCAACTTGCAGATCCTGCAGCTGATTCACCTTCAAAGCCTCGTTTCAGAAACCAGGCAGCTGCCGGGGCTCACCGCTCAGCTGACGGCAGTTTGCATCTGGGCGGGTTCGGCTCTTTATCCACATCCCCCCGGCTCTGGGCAAAAAAGGAGCCACTTTGGAAGCTGGGGCTGGACCTTCCTGGGTGGGTAGTGCTCAGTGTGGGTTTAATGTCGCGAGTGCCCCGGTGTGTGAAGTTGGCTGACGAGGCTCCTTCCTCCATACTAGAAGAGGCACAATCCCCAGATCCCGCCTTGTTGCCCTGCTGCACCGTGCCTTGGGAACATCCATTTCTAAGCCACAGTTTTCCCACCTCAGCTGGATGCAGCTGCTCACAGACGACCCATCCTTGACAAAACTCCCCCCAAACTGCAATTGTGAGGCCTTCTAGAAGGTGCTTCCTTGGGGCGTGCCCGGCTCCTGGGGCTCTCTGACCTCCGTCCCCTCTCCCTTGGCTCCCCAGGAACAGCATCGCCGCCTCGGCTGTGTGCGTCTTCAACCTCAGCGCCATCTCGCAGGCCTTCAACGGGCCCTTCAAGTACCAGGAGAACTCGCGCTCCGCCTGGCTGCCTTACCCCAACCCCAACCCCAACTTCCAGGTAATCCCAGGTGCAGGTGCCCTTGCTGGATCATCCCCCTGGGAGAAAGCAGACCGTGTTGAGATGGGCTGGGCCAACCTGTGGGTGCACCGTGCAGCCAGGGCTCTGGGCCGGCCCATCACACAGGCGAGGCCCTGGGTGCCTGAGGGCCGGCATAATGCGGCAGGGCGGGGAACCAGGCATCCATGGGTCCTAATGGCGGTGGGTGCTGTGTCCCCTGGACCCAGATCCTTCAGGAATGCAGCCCTGGAGACACAGGGGCACACTAGGCTCTCGTTGGCAAGTGTGCCCAGAAGTTGTGGGGTGACCAGGTGCGATGGAGCGACCAGGGCAAAAAGTCATCAAGATATGGGGCGTTTTTGGGCTCCCACACCAGGGACTGCCCGCCCCCCCAATGTTCGGAAGGAGCTGAGGCCTGAGAGATTCAGCCCCGTCTCACCAATCCCCTCGGGCTGCAGGAACCCGAGTCCCTGGGTGCCTGGGTGCTTTGAGCATCGAAGTGCGCTTTGCTGTGGTTCTTCCACCAGGCTCCTGACCCACCCTGCTTCTGGGGTGGTCTTCCCTCCTAGCTACCTGACCGCCAGGTTCAGGGGTGCCCTTGTGCCTTTCCTCAGTGAGCCTGGGAGACGCTCGTCCTGGGGGGGGGCTCCCCTGACCCCCCTCAGCCTGGGTGACTTCCTCGGAGGCTCATCTCCAAACACAGCCTTGCCCGGGGTTAAGCTTCAACACAGGGAATCGGGGTGACAAGCCTTCAGCCGCCAAGGGGGTATTTCCAGGGTACCCCTGGGGTCCGGCGGTGAATAGACGCTTTGGAACTTGGTCTCTTCCTCTGCTCTCAGCCGCGCTGAGGGAGCCATCATTATCCGCACTTGCCAGGGAGCCAAGTGTTTTATAAAATGTCTATTCATTGTCCCAGCCTTGCCGGCTGACAGGGTCGCTGGAGAAGGAGTTCCCTTGGTGGGTCAGGTGGGCTGAGGCGGGGGGTGGGGGGGCGTGACGTGGCGTCCCGAGCATGCCCAGGTGCTGTCATCATTGCAAACTCCACGCTGACTCTGACCCCGAGTTGAGTCTCCACATCTAGTCCCCCAAGGCCCTGCTGTGGGGTGCGGTGTGGCTATTGGAGAAGAGCCGTGAATTCCTGCAGGTTATAAATAGTAAAGATGCTCACTGTGGGTCTTCAGTGAGCAGCCTGACACGCAGTATGTGTAAGCTCGAGGTGCAAAGCTCGTTACTTGGATGCATTTGTATAAAATGGCTCCTTGGATGCGTTTATATGAAATGGTTCCTGTAGCCACAGTTACCAAGTTACAGCGTCACAGCGCAGTATCTCCGCCTCCGTTCCCTCCTCTGTGGTGTCTTCACTGCTGTTTGCAAGTTTCTAGCTTTCAGCAATCGCGTCTTAACCCCTAACTGGTTTGACTGGTGTTTGTTCAGGTTCTGCACAGGCCGCCTCCTCGCTGTCTGATTTGTCTCACTGAGCGCGCATGGCTGTGCCCTCCCTCCCTCCCCGCCCGCCCTATTTGTGGGGTGCTTGGAATGTGATGACGGTTCCGGCCCACGAGCCTCCCCTGTCAATGCCTTACGCCCTGGCATGGGGAACACTTAGCCCTTTGGGTATATTTGCCTCTCACCGAAAACCCCTCATTTCCAAGGCCGTGGCTTCACGATGCCAGCATCACAGGGAAGGACTCACCCCACCCCCAGCGATGGGCAGGGATGCGGGGTGAGCACGCAGAGGTGCAGCGGGCTTTGGGGAGGCTTAGCGGAGCTTGTCCTCTTCACGTAGAAGTTGAGCTCTTCAGGAAGGTCACGTTTTGCATTTAATTCCTGCCCCGAATTCCTGCATTAAATGCGATTATTGCATTTAATTCCTGGCCCAAATATGATCAAGTGTCTCCCTGTGCCTCAATGGATTTGGGCTCCCCTCACACAGGCATCCTTCCCGGGCGCAGGAGACCATCTGGACGGGTCTGGAGAGGAAACGCGTCCGGGAGGAAGGACCCGCACACGTGAGGAGGGTCTCTGGATCGCAGTGACCAGCAGTGAGGACGCGGGGGCGTCCCTGCTGCTCCCCTACTGCTGGCAGGAGCTGTGTGCAGCTCCGGTGCCGGGAGGGGCTCGTGGATTAGGGGAAGAGAAACGAGAAGGAGGGGTTAGGAGGGACAGTGCGGAAGAGTCGGTGTTTGGCACAGGAATCTCGACTGTGCCGTAGAGAGCAAAACCGCGATCTGTGATTTAAGTGCGTCTCCCCTAGAAGGCCTTGGCGTTTCTCTAAGCCTGGCAGTTGGGGCTCGGCACCCCACGTCATCCAGATGCTGAGCCTCGAGGGAAAACGTCTGCAGACAGAGGACATCACCAGGCCCATGGCTCAGCTGCGTGTGACAGACTCTGGAATTTTCTGTGCAGTTTGGGTTACTGCCAACGAGACATGGAGGCGTCACAGACCACAGACCTCAGAACGTGGCCAGGCTGCTGAGGGTTTTGGGGGGCCTTCACATGGGGTGAGACCACATCGTGGGAGCTTAGACCCACAGGCGCAGTGGGGCTGGGCGGGGGCGGGGGCGGGGGCAGGGGCGGTGGGGTGGGCGCCATTACCGGGCCTGTGGGCTGCAGGCCGGCGCAGGGATGCCAGCCCAGGGGAGGGCCTGTTGTCCTTGAAACAAGTAAATAATCAAGACGAACGTTTCACTGTCTCAGAAAAAGAGCAACGTGGTCGACCTTTCCACTTCCCAGGCCTTTGTGGGCCAGGCCCGGTGGCCGGGTGAGGGGCCTGGTTCTCGTCCTTTTGGTTCCTCTTGCTGAGCCCCAGGCTGTTGCCGGACACAGCGGAAGCCTGCACAGGCACAGCTGGAGGATTTGCAGCCCATTAGAGGGTTAGGCGGGGTACTTAGGACCCCATAAATAAATGCTGTAAATTTAAATGGCTTTCAGAAAATTTGAAAAACAACCCCTGGGGGGGATGTCCATTACAGGCTGGCGAGGAAGCCAAGGCGCTGCGGATGGAGCTCTCGCTCCGAGTCTGCCACCCAGTTCTCTGTGTGTGTGTGTGTGTGTGTGTTTGGGGGGGTCCCCTTCTGGCAGGCGCAGCTCAGACACTAGCTGGGGGTCTACACCACCACTCTTCTGACCTGCCCACCTGCTGATGGAGCAGATCCACGGGAGATGGGCTCAGCCCCCCTCAGACTTCCCCCCTGTACCCCACTTCAGAGCCCAGTCTCAAGTCCAGCTTGTCACCTGGGCTTCCGAGCCACAGGCTGCAGGTTGGAGGGTCTAGCGATCCTTTCCTTGGCTTTGGTTGATTGGCAGGAGCAGCTCATGGAGCTCAGGAAACAGTTTACTTACTGCTTTGCCGGATTATTACAAAAGGATAAAAGTCAGGAGCAGCACAGAGCGAGGGGTTGGGGGAGGGTGAGGGGCTGCCCTCTGGTCTGCCTCTCTCCTGGCACCTCCTGTGCCCCCCAGCCTGGAGCCCCATCCTCGTGGGCTTCATCACACAGGCGCACCCGATTAGTCCTCGACCGTGAACCTGACCCCCAGCCGCTCCCTGCGCCATAGGTCAAGGGGAGGGAGGGAGCTCTAACTCCTCCTCCAATCACCTGCTTGCGTCTCCTGGCAACCAGCTCCCCTTCCTAGGTGCTCCCAGATGTCCTCGCTGACAGCACATAGACGTCTTCATAGTTCTCTTAGGGAAACCCAGGGGCTTCCGGAGCTCTGTGTCAGGAATGGGGCCAGGCAGCAGACGCGTGTCTTATTGCGAGTCCCAGTCCTGCGCTGGTCATTCAGGTCCATGACGCCAGGATACAGGGGTCCAGGAGCAAATCAACAGGAGCGGTCAGCGGCCTCCTGGGGTGACCCCCCAGGTTCCTCATTGAGCAGCAAGAGGTCCTCCTCCATTGGAGGTTATTGCTGCTGGCTTTTAGTATGCCGGGCTTTAAAAAAAAACACTGTGAATAGGAAACTCGCGTGCAACACTCCCCAAGTGCAGAGCTGACTGTCCCCAACCCCATGAAGTGCCCCGGCTTCCGCCAAGGAAGAGCAGCAAGTGTGGTCTCTCAGCACTTACTCACCTGCACGACTTCAGGCCACACCCACCAGAGCTGGCTTCAACCTCATGGACAGGCCGCATCCGCGCTGCCAGCGTGACAGTCACATAGGGTGATTCTGTGAAGTCCCCCGGGCCAGCCTGCCCGACAGCAAATGCTTGTGCGTCACCCACTGAGCCTTTCCTTCCTTTAATTACTCGCTCAGGGCCTCCCCTGTGGCGCAGCGGTTGAGCGCTGGCTTGCGAAGCTGCCCGCAGCCTCTGCAGCACCGGTTCGATCCCCGGCCGCTCCCCAGCCACCGGAGGAGGGTCCCACATGGCATGACAGACCTCTCCTGCCATGCCTGCTGCTCCCCTCAACAGTGTATTTCGTCAGTCTGCCTGTTCTGCTCCCCGCTCTGGCTCTGGTGAATTCTCTCACCCTCCCGCGCTTCTGACTGTACCCAGTGCTTGTATCAATAAATAAATAAATCTCTTAAAAAATAAATAAATAATCACTTGCTCATTTCCCTCCGGCCCATGCAGCTCAATGGGCCGCGAGCGGCTGTCCTGTACCCAGTGGGTGGCTTTCACCCCAGGGTTCCCGTCTTCCCTGGCCAGGCTTGCTGTCTGGCCCCTGGTCATTTACAGGCGCTTTCAGTCAGCCCACACGCCCCTGCTGACTCCTCGCGGGTGTCCTGCAAGGAGAGTGACTCGAACGGTGTTTGGCCACCTAATGGTGACAGGGTGGAGACAAGGAGGCTCTGCTCGCCTGAGACTCCTGTGAAGTCGGGAGCTGAGCCCTTCACCTGTTGTCACGTCGTCCCATCACGGGCACAGGGAGCCCGCCTGGGGCTATCCCTTGGCCTGGCACCAGGGACCCCTCCTGGGGACCCAGCCCATCCTCTGCAGGGATGTGGCATTAAACTAAGCATCAGCCCAGACTCAAAATCCATGTCATTCCGAGATTCTCTGAATCTCCAATCAGCCCGTCATTTCATGGCAAGTGGGGCGCTCTCTCAAGTGCTGCAGAATGCCTGTTTTTCAAAGCAATTTCCATCTCACACTTGCACCTCTAACCTGTTATAAAATCCGGGATTAGAAATCACATGTTGTAAGTGGTATTGCAGATGGCATGAAAGTGGGATTTCATTTCCATCAAACCTACTTATATGAAGTTCTGCTCAAGATCAGCCTTTGTGGGAACCAGGATTTGAAGTTATGGAAATGACAAATATTGGTGGTAATTTTCTGATTCTGTGCTCTGCCCCAGGGAAGCTTTGCCTCTTTCTGATCTCTCCTTTTACCTCATCCTTGCCCAGAACCCTCCTCCATCCCGCCCCAGCCCTCCACAGCGCAGCTTTGAACTTAGTTCTCAGCAATTCGAGGCCTCGTGTTTCTACATCACCCTGACTCCTCCCTCGCTCCCTCTTTTGCCTCCTTTAGACCCTCGTCTCTCCCCATCTCTCTCCCTCCCTTCCCTCATCTCTGTGTCTCTCTCTTGCAAGTTTGCAAAAAGTCTGTTCGTCTCGCTTGAATATGAGCACAAAGCAATAAGCCGGCACACTGCTCTTGTGGTCTGTGAATGACATACAGTATTGCATAATTCACAAAATTAACTGCACAATTATATCTTCGTGGAGTCCATATCTCATGTATAGACCCACCGCTCCCCTAGAAAGCTAACAAATCTATGTGGTGTATGGATTGTTACCTTTCCCATTTGGTTACCTTCCTCATCGGACGGCTGGCATGCTTTCCACTTGTCCAGAGAGCTTCTGAGTTCTTCCAGAGGGGACACGGTGTTTTTATAGACAGGCCTTTTAAGTCAGCAGTGACTGCCATGTGAGTTTGTTTTTATCTCCTGATCAGCCAATTTATGATGAAGTTGAGAGACTCCCCAAGAGTGATGGGTTCACATCTACAGAGAGGGAGGCCGAGGATGGGGCTTTGGGGGGAGAGAAGCCCTGGTGTGTGCAGACCTCAGTTCCCTGCTGGGTGTATTTGGTTTCCAAGGCAGCCTCACTGGGGTGGCCTGGATCCAGGTGGGTCCAAGTGAGTCCAGGTGAATCAAGATGGTCTAGGTGGATCCAGGTGGGTCCAGGTGAGTCCAGGTGGTCCAGGTGGATCCAGGTGGGTTCGGGTGGGTCCAGGTTGGGCCCCAGTGACAGCCTGTCTCCCTGCAGTGTGGCACCGTGGACCAGGGTCCGTACGTGAACCTGACGGAGAGGAACCTGCAGGACGCCCAGAAGTTCATCCTGATGCACGAGGTGGTGCAGCCGGTCACCCCCGTGCCGGCCTTCCTGGAGGACAGCAGCCGCTTCTCCCACGTGGCCGTGGACGTGGTGCAGGGCCGGGACGCCCTCATGCACATCCTCTATTTGGCCACAGGTAGGCCCGCGCCCTCTCTGGGGAGCCCCCCCTCCGCTTCTGATTGGTCTAAAGTTCTCAACCTGCTGCCCCAGCGCCAGCCTTTGGTGCGTTTCGCGTCCTCACAAGCACACACCCCACGGTGCTCACATCCATCTTCACCGCCCTCCATGCTTCTGGGGAGACCACCATGCCCCTGTTTGCTCAGTAAGTTTCTTCAGGTCAAGACCTTTTAACTTGGATGATGGAGGACACTGGGCTTTGTTAGGGGGTGTTGCTGCTCGAATGTTCGCCTGGGATCACGTGCTGGGTCCAGCGGGTTCCCAGAGGGCGCTCACAATCCTTCTGTCGGGGTGCTCTGCAGAAGCAGCTGAAAGACGCATTTGTGGGGCCACAGAACATTTTACCGAAAACGTAGACAAACGCCCCTCCCGCAGGCCCTGGGTCACCGGGCTCAGCTTCACGCAACAGCCCGTAGCGGGCTGGTCCTTCCGGGCTGCGACACAGACAGCCCCGCGCCCACTAGGGTGCAGGCTGCTTCTCCCGCCGACTCTCTGGGTGGCAGCTCCGGGGCTGCTCCTCCCTGTGCGTCCCGCCCGGATGTGCACCTGCCCGGGGGCTCACCCCAGGCTCTGCCCCTGCCTCCCCCCCACACGCCCACCTGCCTCACGGCCCTGCTGCCCTCCAGGACGGAGGCTGCTGCATCCATGTGCTGTGTTCCCTTTGTCTCTGCCCAGGTAGATGCCCTGTTGCCAAGTTGTGTCTGTGCAGGGTGGCCTCGTGGGGACACCTCGCCTGACTTCATTGCCCAACTTTCCTGCCCCGTTTCTATCCCCCGCTCACCAGCTAGGGGTGTCCCCAGTAGGCCTGAGCCCCTGAGCCCTGCCCTTGTGCCGCTTGCTGGGCAGTGACAGTGACGAAGCCAGAGGTGGCCAGAGTGTCCGCAGCCCGTCGAGTTCCGGGGCATAGAGGTAGCGGGTGGAGATGGCAGAGGCTCAGGTTTTGCTCCAAGTTGGATAATAACCAGGTGAAACATTTTGTAGAGAAACGGCGTGTGCTGCCCTGGTGAGGAGCACGGTGTGGTCACAGGCCTGGGCAACCTCTCTCCTCAAATCCTAAAGTGTTGCAAACCTACATTACCTCACTCAAAAAAATGCATTTTTTAAAAAAAGGAAATCACATGAAACAATACATTTTTTCCAAGATAACAGTCCATAATACCTGGAGAATGAATCGAAGGGTCACCACCAAGGCAGACATGGTCATATTGAGGATGAAAATGTTTTGCACCATCTATGAATTTGCTTTAAGATCCGCCGCTTATGTGAAGTGTGAGTGAGCGCTGAGTGGCGTGTCCCCGCACCGTGACCCCATGGGTGGGCGAGAGTCTGGCCGAGGCCCCTTCTGTGCACACCAGAGCTGGGGCGGGGGCGTGGCAGCCCGGGAGGTAGGTGGGCAGCAGGGTCAACACCAGCCTCGGCGGGTAATACCACCCCAAGGAGGTGGATATTGCTTCCTGACGGACATGAAGTCGTACGTGCAAAGGGCAGGTGCACGTGCGGTGCAGCGACAGTTGGACAAGCTGTGCTGTTGCCATCTCACGGGGGGGAGCACCATCAGGGGAATGAATGTGGAAAGTCTCCTGGTCTTGATGAAGAGGAGAAAGGCTTGGGAATCGCTGATCTTGGTGTTTCCTGGAGAGGAACTAGCGGATCCTGTTTATGCTCTGCCCCAGCACAGCCCCTCGGTCTTGGGCATTTGAGGGACGTGTGACAATCTTCTCTGAGAGGGAGAGATGGAGAGATGCAAGTTTAGTGCCAGTTTTAGTGTCCCATCCACTGGGGAAGACTCAGCAGTGAACAAAAACATGGATGCCTGCCCTGAGCGAGCTTGCGTGGCAGAGGAAGGCAACAGCAAAATGACGGGTTGACCCCAACTTTTCTATGGGGAAAAGTGGAGCAGGGAGGCTGGGGTGGCGGGCGGCTCGGGCCAGGGAGTGTTTCTGTGGATGAGCCCCCAGGCGCTGAGTGCCATCTGGGGGGGCAGGGGGTGGTCGAGACAGGATTCCACTCAAGGACTGTGGCTTCGGGCACTACCCAGTCCTGACTGTTGCCACTGAGTTGAGCCCCGTGGACCCGCCTTTTGTAGGGTCACACCCACGGTGGGAATCGCCACACCGAGAAGGATGAGGCACAAGAGAAGGCGTCCCGGATGGGTGAGGCCCTGAGCCTCCCGAGGGCTGGACAGGGTGTCACCGGGGCGGGGCCAGGGGCACCCTGACCTGCAGGTGCAGACAGCGCCAGAGCCTCACCTGTGGGCTTCCTCGGAGCTGCCAGGAGACCGGGGAGGGAGCAGACCCTCCCTCTCTTCTCTTCCTGATCGCTTGTGAATACAGAACATGGCATTTTGATGGCTGTTTGCTTGCTACTCATCGTTGTTAAAAACTGAGAAATCAGCTTGTGGAAAAAACGTCATTCTTTGAAAAAACAAACTATTCTAGAAATTTCTCCCTCTGGACTAGCAGTTGGCAACTCCTGCGACTCAAGCTGAAGTTCCACTCGGGGGACTGTTTTATCCATGTATGGTTTCTCCAGCACGTGGATGCCCCTCAGCTCCTTTTCCAAAGAGGAAGACAAGGCTGCCCAGTGAGGGGTGTGTCAGTGTCCCCCTGACTGACCAGAGAGACTGGACAGTCCCTCAGAGCAGCCTCGGGGCACCAAGCCCAAGTAGCCCCTCTGCCATTGTGAACAGTTACCTCCCTCAACTCTGGAGTCTGTCTGCAGCTCCCTGTCAGAGGCCCGCATTAAACTGGGAGATCTGGTGATGGAGACGTATTCTGCAATTGTGTCGTGGGCTGGAAATTGCAAATCCGAGTCTAATTGACTTTCTCAACATGTCCCCGTTTATTTAAGAGATTCCTATAGGCTGAAAGAGAACATTCTGTGGTTGGACCGTGTATTTGATAAAATGTAAGAAAATTGAGTTTAATCACAGAATGATTGAGGTGAATAATAGCAGAGCAGGCAAGTTCCGATTCCCTGGCATTATGGGTTAAACGGTGTCCCCTAAAAGGACATGTTCAAGTTCAACTCATCAATATCTCAGAAGGTGACCTTGTCTGTAAAGAGGGTTTCCAGAGCTGTCATAGGTCAAGGTGAAGCTGGAGTGGAGGCGGCTGAGCCCTTAGTCAGAGTGTCCTTATATGAAGCGGGACACAGCCTGGACACAGGGCACAGGGGCAGTGCGTGGGACAGGGAATCCCAAGCTGAACAGCCACCGTGAGGCTGTAGGGGATGGGGGGCCACCCCGGTGCTCCTGGGACTAGGGCCCTGCACGGACCTCAGTCGCAGACTCCCTGCCCCGGGGTGTGCGCTCTGGTCAGCAGCCCGGCTCATGCATCCAGCTGTCTGCTTCTCCTCGCATCTGGTCTTGCAGCTACATGTCAAGCCGTCTGGCTTCCTCTGGCCCCTGACCTTTCTCAATGCCCTGAACTCAACAAACAGAATTAATATTCTAGTATTTGCTCATGTCAGGCCCAATTAAAATGAGAAGTCTACTGTTGAAAACAATTTAATGTTTGCCAAACCCCTTAAAATGGCATGAAAACCAATCACTGCTTTGTTTTACTAAATATAGGGACAATTCGTTCTTGCATTTTAATGCATTTTGTTTTTAAGCATGTTTTTCTGGATAAATTTAGTAGCTCATGCCTAGCTCCCTAAGCACAAATAACAGGGTGTTACAGGCTATAAATCAGTAGACACCTAGGTTTCCTCGGAGCTGATGCGACTCCACGTCTGTGTCTGGGGAGGACACTTCCCGCTCGGCCTCAGCCTCTGTCACCCTCGGTCATGTCCCGACCATCAGTGTGGACTGAAATTTGCCCCTGCTGGTAAAGCTGGTCTTTGGACTAGAGAAATGCAAACTGTTTCTCTTCATCTTTTTGTGTAGAAACCCTAAAGTTGTCTGAATCCTGAAGCTTTGTCTCTGTCCCTGGGCCTGCGGTCCTCTTGCTCATACAGCAACCGAGTTAGTAGATTATTGTTTTGGGTGAAACAATCATGTGATAATGCTGAAGACTTGCAGTGATGTACGCCCGGGTCTTCTTCCCATCGGCCCAGCTCTTCTTTGAAGGCCTTTCATCGTTTACCTCAGACCCCGCAATAGGGTCTCCCAACAATTTGGGGCCCTCCAGGCCCCTCCCATTGCCATGTTGCTAAATCACATTTACGGAGACCACATGTCCACTCAAGGCCAGGGCCCTGTCATGGTGCGAGCCAGCCGAGAGGCCTGTACCCCAAAAAACCAAAACCAGACAAACAAAAATCCCTCTAATAGAAGTTTAAGTTTCAATTTTGAAAGTTTAACTTCCTCCTTGGGGCCAAAGCTGCAGCTCCAGTTACCGGAGTTGAGGCAGAAAGGGCGCAGCCCCTGCAGCCAGAGCCCGGCCGTCCCTGCCGTCCCTGCCGTCCGCTCATCTGGACCCGGCTGGAGCGCTCCAGCAGAAGGAGGCCCCTTCTGACTCCAGTGCTTGGAGAACAGATGTCAGCACTAGAAAGAGTCCTGCAGTGTGGGCGGGGAGGGCGCGGGGAAGCGCCTTCACAATGTTTCACAGTCAGCTTCTCCCACCAACTATGAGACCTGCACCCCTGCCGCGGTGTCCACTCTCCCTTCTCCCTCCTTTCTGCGCCCCCAGCTGACTGCCCTTTTCCTGCCTGGGGGCAGGAGCACCTGCCCCTCAGGGTAACCTGGCTGCCCGCGGGTGCTGGCGCTACACCTGTCCTCCAGGGGGCGCTGCCTCTCACACTGTGACTCCAGGACCCCGGCTGCTCGGGGGTGACCACAGGACTGTCCACATCTGGAGCTGTCGTGGCACCCCGTGGACACAGAGGATGGGCGAGACTTTGGAATTCCTTCTGGAATCCAAGAAACAGAATGTCTGTGCCCTCTGGAGGGCGCCAGAGTGACAGGGGCTTTGCCATCCGCCTGCTTGCCACAGTCACCCTTCGAACTGTCAAATA